CCCTTAAGAAAGTTGTTTAGACAAAGAACAAAGATAAGAACAAATTTATACATGACCACAAGCTGTTGTGTGACTCATTAGTTTCCACAGCAAGGTTGTTGCTATGTGAAAATTGCTTATTTATACCTAAATTCTTTAGAAGGCCCCAAGTTGCCCTGAGAGGCTCAGAGGCAATTTCAATAGCCTCTTTAGGCTAGTTTGGAAAATCTCCCCAGTTCTCTCTCTTGCTTTCATTCCTCATTAGTCTTGGGATAAAAACCAAGTAAAGTTGAGAGCCAATCGACTTGGTTTTGGGGATAAAAGAGTTATCTCCCAGAGTTGAGAGAATTAGAAGCTTTATCTCAGCATGAGATCAGGAAGGGAAAGAGAAAGCTATGCAATCCAAGAATAAATACATTTTAGGAGTCTCTTTTATCATTCTTAGAAATTTTGCCAATGATTTTAAATAAAAACTAATTTTCTTTCTAAATTAGGAAATGCTGAGAGAGACATTATATTTTTCTTCTTAAAAAATAGATCTGTGGAATTTTTTGAAAGGTCAATAGTAAAATGCTCTCTCTCACACACACAGACACAGACACACATGCACAGAGCTTTTGCAGAAAATATCATCTGGACCCTGGGGCAAAGCCAGGGCATTAGGATCTGGGATTTGGCTTTCTTTCTGCAGAGAGCTGTTAGACATCATTCAAACTCTATAGGAACTAGAATTGTTTGAGAACGTGTGATTTGGGCTGGATATGTTGTCGTTGTCTAGATACCTGATTATAGCTGTAATCAGAAGTGGTTTTTTTACTCATGTTTCTATAAAGATAACGGAATGAACTGGGAGCCAGACCCACACTATGAAATTAACCTAACTATTTGCTACAGGTTCTCAACCTGTGTATGTCACAGGCTGAAGCGCTGCAAATGTTTCAAGTTGGACTACTACATTTTGATCCAAGTGTACCTTGTATTTGAGTAGTGACTGAGTATACATGCTGTTATGTCCATTTCTGTCAGAGAGAATGTTGGACTGAACAGGTTTTGTGCTTGTGAGGTCAGAAAAGCTATAATTAAGAGATAAGAGACATTGTGTAATATGAAGGCAAAGCAAGAGTACATGTTTACTAGAATATGCTAGAAATTTACTTCTTCAATATATAAGAAACAGAGAATCATCAATATCTTAGCAAATCCTTGACCTGATAACAACATGCCAAAAGGAGACAAAGTACCTTATCTCGGGTCCCCACTCCCCAACCAAAAACAGAGCCTCAGATAAGGGCTTGAGTGTAGGAAGTTTATTTTGCAAAATTACTTCTCCCTGAGAAGAGCTCAGCAGGTAGGAGAGAAAGCCAAAGAAAAATGCATGAGTAAGTTGGTCACTGATGTGAACAACTGATGCTTGATCCACTGAAGCCTTCTGAGGATCTGTGTAGACTATCAGAATTGTTCATTAGTGCAACAAAAGGGGGAAGCTGTTTCTAGTGGTTTCTGTCCTTCACTGTTCAATAGTTGCCTCCCAGGAAGTAAGTCCCTTGTCTTCCGGGTGAAAGGTAGCAGAATTCGCCACCCCATAATATGCCTCTTTGGTGTAAGAATATTTTGAGCTGATTATTTTGAGAAATTGCAGACACAAGAAAAGCTCTGAAAATAAGACAATTACCCTTTTATAAGGGAAATTTGCATTGCAAAAGAAGCCCATTTGAGAGAGCCAGCTATTATTAGAGATAGCCTTTTCACCTGGGTGACTTGTCTGCCTAGTAAGACAACCTCTATTTACCAAACATTTCCTATTGTTACTTTCTCATGAATAATACCTTCCCTCAGACTCCTATCCCTTTCCTTAGCTCAGGATGGTATATAAGCCTCAATCAGCTGGCTGCCCTTAAAGTCTGATATTGCTGTGGAATGTAAGTAATAGTTTTTTTTCTCCTGTTCATCTTTTTATTAGAGGGTATCTCAGCCACAGAACCTAGAAGCATAGAGCAAAAATTATTTTTCCTCCTCCACATTGGTTTGCACATGTGTAATGTTGAACACCTTCCCACAGGAGTCTTAAACCTATAGTGTCAGAAGTGAGAAAAACAGTACAGCTAAGCTAAGGTACTTTCAGTTCACATCTGTGAGGGACTGGTTGCCATAGGAACAGAATTTTGCAAAATCAAGGTGTACTGTGAGGATATTAGCCAGAAGTAGAAGTGTGTATTAGAGTTATATATTGCTGTGTAACAAGTTACCCCTAAATTTTATGACTTGAAATAATAGCATTTACAATCTCCGTTTCTGTAGTTTGGGGAATCAGATGAGGTTTAGCTCAGTCCTATGCTACTCTCAGGCTGCAATGAAGGTCTCATCTACAGTCATCTCAAGGCTCAGTTGGGGAAAGATCTGCTTCCAAGTTTGTTCACTTAGCTGTTGGTAGGATTCTGTTCCTTACAGGCTGCTGCTACTTTGGTCTTATCCTATATAATTCCTGGTTTGCATCATCCTCTGTCTGCAAAGGCCATGTTTTAGGCTGTACAACTATTTCCTGAAGATGTTTGCTCTGTGTGGAATGCCTCTGTGTGGAATGCTTTCTCTTTCCTGTTTACTAATGAACTCCTATTTATTCCTTAAATCCCGTCCCAAAAGACATTGTTTCTATAAGCCACTTCTGACTCTGTGGTCTTCATCCTCAGACCTCCTGAGAAATATGTCTTTTATAGCTTTTATCTCATGGTCTTTTAACTCTTCCATCTCTCTCCTGGATGTTAAACACAGGAATTCTGTATTTATTCTCAGTGTTTCCTCTGCAATTGGAAAGCACAGATTTTCATATGTTTGTATGTTTGTTTATATCTTTGTATATCTTTCTGGCCTACTATGTTAAGAATCATTTAGTTCTCGTGATACAACACTCAGTGACACAATTATAAATTTTAAAGAGTAAATATTTTTCTATCCTTTTGAATTGTCTTTGCTGTATTTGTTATCTGAAAATTGAAATATGTTTCCAGTAAGTAAGTTTACATGATACGAGAGTAAAGGAAAATAAAATGGTAAAATATAAAACAAATGAGTCTACTGTATGAATCCAAGGGTGATTGTAAAGTCTTACTATACTCTTGAAAATTCCTTCTACTTTAACAATTCTGGAAATGTATATGTAAATATATATAGTTTAAATTATAGCTAACTTCCTTGTAAGAAACTGAAGGCAAGGAAGAGGGAGCTGGATTCTGTTTTACTAAACCAACTTGACAGCTCTGATCCAATCCCAGAATCTTAAAGGCCACTAAGAGATAGAAAAGAGCCCAAATTGCAGCTCAGACAGTGGGTGAGTTTGCCAAGCTCCATGTTAACACCAGCTCCACTGGGCTTATGAACTGCCCAAACTTGGCACACATTGGGGCTCAGTTTTATTCTTAGTCTGTTCACACTTGAATGTCATGTTTTAGAATAATCCAAAATATCATACTTAAGAAGAGCAATAGGTCTATGTAGTGGTTCACTGGAAAATAGCATCTCCCAGATGATGTGGGGTGACCATGTTTTGATTACCTTTCTTTCCAAGGCACAGAAAATGCTTCAGAGACAGCAAATAGAAACCCAGAAATAGTGTCCACCCTAAACTTTAAGAAGAAATTCTCTTAGGTTAAATTTACTTGTACTTAAACCTAAAAATCAGAATTGATAACTTTCAGAATTTTTCAAAATGTGAGGACAGAAGGCAGTCTGCATTGTTTCATAATGTTAAGCTTTCACAAAGTGAAGAAAAGTGTCTAATTTGGCCAGTGGCTGCCAGTGCTGGACAATGGCTAGCAATACTCTAATGTGGAGAAGTATCAATCAAGAGAAAGCAAGGATTAGAGAGAAATGGAGCAATCCCTCATTAACAGCCAAGTGCCAATAAAAATGAAAAAACAGAAGAAAATGAACCCAAAAGAAATCATCTACTTATAAAAATCACTGGGAAAATAAAAATAAATCATATTGTCATTTCTTTATACTCAGCTCTCCATTAGGAGTGAAAAATAGTCCAATTATACTAAAATTTGTCCTGGGAAATCTCTGTACCTTGTGCTGGTTATTTTTTGCGTAGCAGCTCCCTCCCTACGTCAGATCCATTCTCCACTGTTCTCTACCCTACTTCGACCTGCAAGCCCCAGACCCTAAGTACTCTACTACCTGGACTCCTTGATGAATGGCCTTGGTCACTGACAGGCACCAACAGGAGATAGGAAAGTGGCAGGAGAGGGAGGGAGGACAGGGCATTTCTTCCCTTCATCCCACCTGCTTTGGGCTGTGTTTTCTGGCATTTGGCACACCACTCCACCTCTAGAGGTCTTACCAGGTGGACCCTCCTCCGTGGTTCTTTCTCTCATGGGACTTCTGAATGCTAACATCTCTCCTGCCCCTTTATGTCTAGGCATGCTAATGGCTTTCTGTGTTGCTAGTTCCTGGGGTTTCCGTCGTTTTGGACTCCCTTATCCCTACCCACACCTCTGTAAATAGTCCCTTATTAAAATCCATTTCATCATGTGACTGGGATGTTATTTCACCATGGGAATTTAGTGATACAGTTTTTCTCTGAGCCCTGAGAGGTGTTAAATTTATTCCTGAATCATGAAGAAACCTCATTTTACATCCTTATTCTCCTAACTCACAGCCCTACCAACTGTATTGAATTGTGTAAGAAAATGTGCTTGTTAATTGTAAGTACTCCACTGCAGTTCTGATGAGATCTACTCATCAAGCTTCACACTGACTCAACCTTACTGACATCTTAAAAAGATGCCACCTCAATCTAGTCAAAACGCCCAGATCACCAAGGTACATGCCAGTCTTGCTCGAGAGCTGCCTTATGCAAAAGATGGTTTGGGCAATGGTTGTTTAAAGGGGTTGGGAAGGGCATTGCTGGATGTACAGATAGTGCTTTCATTGGGAGGCATTATTAGGAAAGGAGATGACAGATTGCCCAAGCTGAGAAAACTGTGTGATTAAATCTTTTTCTCTCCCATGTTGCTAGTTAAAAATTGTTTGACACTTCAGAGAGAGCACATAATCTTATTGCTGAAAGTGTGGAATTCATCCAGTCCAATGACTTCACTATAGGTAAGAAAACTGAGAATCAGAGAAATATAAGTGATATTCCTAAGGCTAAATAACTACTTAATACAGAAGCAGGACTGGAACTCCAAGTCCAAATCTCCTTGTGTTCACCACACTGTCCAATAACATTTTATTGTGAAGTTATACACTCATGGGCTATTGAGTACACAAAATAATGTGCCGAAGTTAATGGCAAAAATAATTTATATTGATCAAAGAGAAAGACAATTAGGAATTGATCTTTTTTCAATCAATTATTAGGTTCCAGAATTGCCATGGGATAAGAGATGAAACCTCAATTTCATACTCTTACTATATTTTAAGATTGCTTCTTTTGAGGAAAGAAGGAAGGGAGGGAGGGAGAGAGGGAAGAAAGTAGCTTGTTTATTTAAGAGCCAACTTCCTAAGAAATCAAAAAATGTGTACATCTTACATATTTATATTATCTCCTCTGCAACACAGACATTGTCACTCATCATGGTGAAACATGTTGCATTTCTTCATTAGACTGGAAAGTCCATAGCTCATTCAATATGGCCTCAAAATATAAGCTAATATTTCAGTCATCCTTTAACCTAAAGTTTGAAGTATACACACCCAGCCTTAAGTTTTCCTCTTCATTTATTTACGGTTTCATGTCCATTTGTGGAAATTTTAAACCTACTTTCCATCATAATTCATGTTTCCTTTAAGTCTAACCAGTATCACAAAGTTATTAGTTCATGATTTTGGAGTCAGACAGCCTGGACTAAGGTAAGCCCTCATACATTTCTACTAACCATGTGACTTTGAAAAAATACCAGACCTCTCTGAACCTCAGTTGTCTACCTTGATAGTCAATAGGGATGATAATAACAGTACCTACATTTAGGGACATTGACAGTAGATTTTGAAAAGTACAGTCAATATAGTACCTGGAGCATAGTACAATATAGGATAACTATTATTAGTGGGAATGATTATTTATAACCACTATATTCCCTCTTCTCACTTCTTAATTTCATAATTAATAAGAAAAAAAGCCTAAATACTTGCTGTAGAAGCTGTATTTCATTGCATATATAGTATCTAGTTCAAAGAATTAATTGCTGATGATTTAACCTAAATTTTATACTTCTACACAAGTAATAATAGTAATTAAAGGCAGAGTTGCCTGTTTACATTTAACATTTTGTTTTTATTATATCAAAAACAAAAAATTCATTGAAAATGTTATCCAGAGGAAATTACCTTGGCCTCCTGTGTGGCTATGGGATTTTTCTTTTTTTTCCTGAAACTAACTCTATGGTTTAATTTATTTCCATCTTCTATTGAAAGTTTAAGGCTAACAAGAAAATCTTCTAATAGGGAAAATATTGGCCTGGAAGATTAAAGTGCATATTTGCATAATTCAGACTATATCCTTTCTCTCTGCCCACTATATCCAGATCATTAAATGAAAGTTTCTATTTATGTATTTTGGGGTAAATGTTCAACATAATGATTTCATTTTTGCACTTCAAACAGACAGATAAAACTAACAGAAGGCATAACATAACTAAAGCCATTGCAAAGATAATTTCCCGATAGTTACCACTCCTCCCTCACCCCCAGTTCCATGGAAGTTTAAAGCACGACCTTGGAGAGTCCTCTCCTAAAAACACAAATAATACTCTTCTCTGTTAACCATTATGATTATGAAGATAATTCCATAAAACTATGAATATGATAGCATTTTAATTTCATTTTACTTTATGTTGATTTCATCATGAACCACTGTTCTTTGAGCTTGCAGAGCAGAAGTTACAGATTGGTCTCTACTGGTTGGTCAAATCACCAAGTCAGTCCATCATTCCAAAGACCTCTCACAAATCTCCCACTTACGTTTTCTTTAGTCTTATCTTTATTTTTATTCTTCTTTCTAAATTTGTACATGTCAGGAAATTATATCACTGTTAAATTTATGCATATTAGTCACAAATACTCTACTCCTTTAAGGATAAGTATGGAATTGTTATTAGTTGCTTTTTAAATAAGAGCTAAATTTTCATTTCAAGTTTTGCCAGTGGGGTTTAAATCCTTTCCATTAAGAGTATCAGTAAGGATTAGGTTCTGCTACCAATAACAGAATATTCAAAACAAAGTGGCTTCATCACACAAAAGTTTGTTTTTCTCTAGTAACAAGATGTCCAGGTAGACATATACTGTTTGGGTTCAGCACCTCTAGGACGTCTTGGCCTAGATCTCTTAAGATGCTCTTTGCTTTCTCACCAGGAGTCCAAGATGGATGCTGGTGATCCAGTGATAAACCTACTTCCTGGCAATAATGTTTTATCAGGAATATCACTCAGTACTTTCTGCTTATATCTCATTTGCCACTTTCATCTGCAGGTGAGGCATGAAATAAATTATTTTTAAGAAAAAAGAAAAAGAAGAATAGATATTAGTTTTGACATGATTGTTTCTGCCGCCCCATTCAGATTTAGTTGATGTTAATTTTTTTTATCTATTCCCTGGATATTAGAATTTTTAAGAGTACTTACTTAAAATCATTTCCATGTTTTAAATTATTTTTACATTTTTGTTTTCATATCCTAAAATCTTCTGCTCATGTTTATAAGTTTATGTTATCCTAAAAAATCTTTAAAAAACCAAACAAAACAGAAAAATAGAACTTCCGTGTAGAAGAAGGATGAACTATATCACTTAGTCACAATGAAAAGTAAACTGACAGGCAGACCAAGTGCACCTGCTGTTTTGGATAATGTGTGCAGTGGGTGACAAGTGACTAACATGGATACACAAAAGATTGCTACTAGAGCCCTCAGAAATCTCCTTAGGGTTGGAGGGGACAGTTGCTACTGCTTGCATATCTTTTCCCTCTTGCTTCTTCTGATTTCACCCTGCTTTACATGTGTTTTGAGTTAGCCTGGCTTTTGTGTGTGTGGTAAAGCAGGCTGCAATTCCAGAGCTCTTGAGAGTGATTGGATATCTCTTGAGCGATTAAATTCAAGCCAATGAGTATATATCCATGAAAAAAGCTAAAACAACAGCAGAAATATTTAAATAATGTTCAAGTGTCAGAGGACACCACCACATACTTGAAAACTCACTATTAAGATGTGAATTTGGAAAGACCAGGTAAGATGGGAAATAGGTAATTTGAATCAGGAGAACTGAGCTGCTGGGATGTAATTAGATGAGGCATTTGCCATATCTGCTTCATATACTCTGAGAGCTATGCATAACGCTGATGCTGTGGGAGGACAGACCTTTCCTTTAGGCACTGATTTTTAGCTTTTAAAATCTGTAGCAGCTGGAGCTCTTGTTTCACTAGCAATGTCCCCTCCACCATAATGGGCCTTACAGTTCTCTGCTTTACTGAAGATTTTAGGCTTTTAAATCATGTTCCCTAAGCACCACCTTTCACTGGCCTGCCTTTTGTTGCATCTCTGTTATTCCCATGAGATAAAAAAAAGTGATGTACTTTCCTACCTAGAGTTCTGTTGTCAAGCTCCAAATCATCTATTCCATATATAAATGCAGCTCAATAAAAATCACTGTGCTTATTGGAGAAGATTCCATCCTAGCCCTCAGGGAGCTCCAATAACAAATGACAGTGGTTACCTCCTCAGCAGACACATGACTCTAGATCTCTGAGTAGCCTAGGTTCTTTAGGTGAAAACTTTTCGGGAATGCAGTTATCTTTTTCATTTAGAAAAGTTAGTTGTCGGGGCGGAGCCAGGATGGCGGCGTGAGTAGAGCAGTGGAAATCTCCTCCCAAAAACACATAGAGCTATGAAAATATAACAAAGAAAAATCTTCCTAAAATAGAGACCACAGGACACAGGACAACATCCAGACCACATCCACACCTGCAAGAA